GATAAATCAGAACAGACGGTTAAAATTCACAACAGTTTCCGAACAGATTCGATGAAAAACAACAATTATTTAATAAACCAATTACAATTATCTTATATGGATCTTTATGATATCGTCCGAAAGTTTTTTAGTCTTCGTACTACTACAATAGTCGCTTACAGAGATTTTTATGGTCATCGTTAACAATGGTAGTAATAAACTGGAAAGCTTCGTTTACGATTGCTGTAAATGATCATTGTTAACATTTATCATTTTCTGCCGTAATTGATTGTCCGTGAAATGAAAACTAGGAAAAAACTGGCGATTTGCCACGGTTTTACTGATTTGTTTACCGGCTTCTTTACAACGAAAAGCCCGTTGTTTCCTCTGGTTACTCTGGATAAACCGGTGATTTTTTTTACGGTAGGCTGCGGTTTATCGCTACAAATGATTCGATACTTATGATATGGGTGGTATATGACAAGTTATGACTGTGCGTGAGTAGCCTAGAAAAGATTAAAATCTCTTCAGTAACAAACAAAATACACTCCTAGAACAACTGAATAAAACAAAATATCAATAAAAGAAAAAAAAACAATCTCTATTTAAGGAGACGAGCGAATTTCTGCATATCTCCAGCCTTCAGAAAGTATTTATTTATTCACATTCTAGTGCATTACCATTCAACGACCGCTATCTATTCGTCATATACAGTATAGGTATGGGTTTTTATGTAGTGGAAAGATGAAAATGAAACTCATGTCTTCTTATATTCTGTCCTTGATTAATTGATTACTCTATTTGATGATACTTATCTCACTATGCGGTAACTGCCAGACGAACGATAGAAAAAGTGTTCATTTAGCAGGTGTTCGCTCGAAATTAAGTTGTACCCTTTCTGGTTTTTAGATCGAAGCGCCTCGTTCAAAACCATATTTCTTCATAAAAAATTGTCGTTACAATACTTGACTGTCATTATCTTTGCAAAATGATGGACTTTTTTCAAAAGTTTTGCGCTAGCCAAAGAATCTCTATTCTTTGAATGCGTCCTTATAATGAATTTCATGATCGTACTTTGGACATGTGTAGAATCAAGACGTAAACTCACATCCTATACCCAAAATTGAGAAAGAAAAAACATCATCAAAGAAAATTTTCGTTGAAATAAAAGAGCCTTCTTCTTGAATATCATTCACTCATTCTTTCATTCATGATTTTAGTTTGACACTGCATTTAATTCTCAGCACTAAACACAATATGGACTGTAGTGCATCAATGCCAAAAGCTAGTTCTCTCACGCAATCATCACTGTTCTATTCAGTAAGCAAATCTAGCGAAGATTATCATAATTCAATCAAACAGTTGCGATGCACCATTAATACTATTGAAACAGTACATGATATAGAAGAATGTCGTGATTATATGTCAAAACTTCAAAACGAAAAAGTATTCTTGATCATTTCTGATGCTTTATGTCAAGCTTTTGTATATCAGACGTCCATAACATGGAACAAATGCATTCGAATAATATCTTTTGTCAAAAACAAAAAAAAACTATGAGAAATGGACAAAAGAATGGTCCAAGGTAAAAGGTATTTTCAACGAAATTACTTCAATTTGCGACGTAGTTCCATAATCTGCTCAACAATGTGACCAAGATGATATTCGAATTAATGGTGTTTTGTCATTGAACGAAATCGAACCATCATTTATGCCTCCACAGTTCTTGAAAGAAATTATTCTTGAAATCGATTTCGACGGACTGAAAAAAATTAATGATCTCATCAAGCATGGTTCGTAACCAAAAGGAGTATGTTGACAACAAACAACAATTGGAAATTATTGACGAATTCTCTGTCGACTATCAAAAAAATATCGATAAGAACAAAGCCATTTGGTGGTACAGTCGGCAATGTTTGACGTACCAATTAATTCACAAAGCTCTATACTCTCTACGAGTGGACACTATACTCAAAATTGGCTTATTCATTCGTGACTTTCATCGACACATCAAGAAACTTCATCTAGAACAATCGAAAATAATCAATGCATCTGCTACTACTTCTACATTTACCGTCTTCCGAGGTCAAACTATCAGCAAGGAAGATTTTGAAAAGAATATAAAACAAGGCGGAGTCGTATCCTTTAATAATTTTCTATTTAGACAAGTGATAATGACGATGTTGCCATTAGTTTCATTTCTTTGGCCACTGGCAACAAGAGTAGAATCGGTGTTCTGTTCACCATCACAATAGATCGAACGGTCTCATATCATCGACTCCGTTTGCTTGCCTCAGCGATATTAGTTACTTTCATGACGAAAAGGCGATTCTCTTCTCAACACATATAATTTTTCGTGTCCTAAAAGTCGAAGAAATACAAGATCACGAAATAATGATACGGCAAGTAAATTGTACACTCACTTGTAACAGTGATAACAAACAACTTAATGCTCGTACCCAACGAATGCGAGAAAAGATCACTAGTTCAGATTGGCAACGAATGGGTTCATTTTTATAAAAACTGCATGAAGAAGACAAGGCGGAACAAATATATAAAATGTTAATCGAACAGGCATCCATTGAGAACGATAAAGCGTATTGTTATCATCAACTGGAAATTATCAAATATCACCAAAGAGAATACATAAAAGTGATCGAGTATCAAGAAAAATCACTGAATATCTACGAGAAAACTTTCTCTCAGAATGATCTCGACTTGGCTGATTCCTACAACAACATCGACAATTTGTATTATAACATGCGCGAATACTCGAAAACACTTTCATACTACGAAAAAGTCGAAGGAATTTGACAAAAATCCCTTCCGTCCAATCATCCATATATTGCGCTTGTGAAAAAAAACATTGATATTGTAAAAACGAAATTGTAATTTCTTTTTTTTCATTCGATAATAAATTTATCGTTTCCATTATGTCCTTTTGGGTGTGAGTGTAGGATCTGCATATAGTTGCTTACTTCTTTTACACCCATACCCTAGCCTTGAAATTCAATTCTTGTTGAAGAATATTGTTTATTCAAATGACACTTTTCATGACTATACAATGTTCATTCTAGCTTGAGCTGACTCAAAACCGAAGTGAAGATGCATTGCATTGTATCAAACTTGAAAAAAAACTATGACTTATCCAATGATCACAAGAGAATCAAGATGACGCTGCCCTAGCTAGTAAAATATAAATTAAAACTGAAACTTAGCAACTATGAAAGCTAAGAAAATTTTCTGGAGAATTCGAAATATCCGAAAAAAGGTTCTAATTCAGAATGTTTCCTGCCATTTTGGAAAATCTGATAACCTTGACCTAAATGTAACTGGCAAATCAAATTTTCCAAGATTTTCATTCGTTATTGTTGATGATATTTGTGCATATCATACTACACACATACCACCTCTTAGGCCTTCAAATAATCTATTTACATAATTTGTTATTAAAAAAATGAAAGTTCTCTAATGATATTTATATATATGTCTTTGTAAATTAAGTGCTCCTTTAGAATGACATAAAAGATGTCTGTCGAAACTAATACAACTGTCTGACAAAATATCAATGGACTCATTCTTTTGTGACTCCGTTGAATGTATTCGGACGACAAAGGCCTCTAGTTTTTTTCTGACAGGACACGAACAGGACTTACTGGAAAAATCAGATAACATATCAGTGTGAAACACTGCTTCCACGTTTCATTGATTTCCAGTTTTTTCCATCCACACAGAATAATTCTTCGAGTCAGTGCTGAAGGTCGAAATCCTTAGCCTGAATAGTTGAAATTTGTACGTAACAATCATCTAGACATGGATGATTATCAATTAAACGTAATCATGTTCGACTTTCACAAAAACAAAAATTATTATTCTTATGCAATTTGTAATGATTAAATAAATTCGTATTGATAGTAATAAATAATAATCGAAAAAAACTAAAACATTGAGAACATACAATCATTAATATTTATTTTACAATTATTAATGAGATCTGATATTAATTGTTGGTATCGGTAAGCTTAGCATATGATGGAAAATTCGATTTTCCAACAAAATTATTTTATTTAAAAAAAAAACTCATTTTTAACAAAACTTATATCAATAGATGTTAGTATCGGTGCTAATATCTTTTAGCTTGTTTAGTTTGAAGGCCAAAATCCAACTGCTCAAATATTTAATTTTAGATTAGTCCCGTGACGAAAATGATCAGTGAAATTCATGATGATAATAGCAGTTCACCGATTTGTGGACAAGCGAATGTATGAAAATATGATGGCTATTCTTGTACAGGCTACTTTCAAATATTCCAAGATGCTATGTTGTATTTTAATGTATTTCAAGATAGTTCATCTTATTTCTCAGTACTTTCATGTCCTTCAATATACTTTGAGGGATTTCGTAGAACTCAATTTGCATAAAAGTAAGTAAAAGTGAAATGAAATATCTCTTTCGTTTGAAACGAATATTGTAGTAAAAAAAAGAAAAATGTTCAAAGACTTTGACGCTGCGTTAGAGATAATATCCACTTATTGAAGTTGAATTGCACAATGGGTACGATTCTGGATCGATTGATTGCTTCCTGCTAGATCACAAAATAGTTCTTATTCTTATTCAATAACTTCTTCAAAAGAAACATCACAATGACGCTCAAAAGTTCATAAGTAGTCTTCAAATTCGCTTCTCTGATACCGAACGCTATCTATTGTAAATTAATTCAGGAATATTTCACAGATCAACAGAAAGGAACCACAAAAAGCAACATGAATATTATAAATCAAAAAACTTATATCCATTTAATTCTAATTGTCGATTGGTTATCTATGTGAACAATGAAATTTCCTATGAAAATCCTCTATGTATATTTTGCAGAGGCCTACACGCCAAAAATATTAACCAATCAAATGATAAAGCTTTTCATCATCCATATCTACTTGTTATGTTATTGTTATTTTTTTTGTACATTCGAAACTTTCTAAAGATCTTTTCTCTTTTCAGATTTTCCGATAATAACATCAATCATGGTGAAAGTCATGAAAAGTCAAAAAGTAGTCATTGTCTTAGCCGGCCGTTATGCTGGCCGAAAGGCTGTGGTTATTAAAGTATAATTTTGATCTTAATTAATGTTTTTCTTTTTAAAAAGTGTACATTTTTTTTTTAGCCATACGATGAAGGTAGTAACGAACGTGGTTATGGTCATGCTCTTGTTGCTGGTATCTCGCGTTATCCACGTAAAGTAACAAAAAAAATGGGAAAGAAAAAACAAGCACGTCGTAATAAAATAAAGACATTTGTTAAAGTTGTTAACTATAATCATTTAATGGCTACTCGGTAAATGATATTTTATGTTTGTTTTATTAATAAAATATAAAACAAAACTTTATAGATATACGGTTGATATTAACTTTGAAAAAAGTTTAATCAATAAGGATATGTTTCGTGATGCTGGTCTTCGACGAAAAGCTCTTCGAGATGTAAAAGATAAATTCGAAGAACGGTAAAAAAAAACAATAACAAACTTTTGTTAAATCGTTTAGAATTGTTTTTTATTTTCTTGTAATTATAGATACAAAACAGGCAAACATAAATGGTTTTTTCAAAAATTACGATTTTAAAAACAATGAAATTGTCATCATCATCATACAGGAACATTTTTGAAACATCATCCGATTTGTTTGTTTTCTGTTTTGATACAAATACGAGAAAAGAAAAAAAATTTAATAAAATTCTAAACAACAACTATATAGAAAAAGAATATAAATCGAGATATAAAAAAAAAAAACATCAATTGACCATCATTCTCTCTAGATATTTGAGTATAATGAATATATCATCACGTCTGAATTTTATTAAACAGTTTCAATTGAAACGTTTATCACATATTATTGATCATTCGTTATTATATACTACATCTACGTCATATAATCATCAACAACAACAAGTAAATAATTTATTGCTAAAAGAAAAAGTTTAATAAACAAAAAGAAACAGTTGTCCTATTTGATCATATATATCAGGTTTGGAAGTAGATTTTTCTATCATTTGAAAAACTCAAATAATTCAGTTTATACTAAGTTGGATTTAATATTTAGAATCAAGAACTGATTAGAATGTTTTTTTTTCTCGTTCAAATTTCCTAGAAATAAACTGAATCTCATTAATACAGTTACTGATTTTGTATATAGCAAGGCTTTAGATATCGAAGACTACGATGCATGGATATGAGAAAAAAAAAAAAGATGTTCAATTAGGAATCAATCAATATTTTTATTAGCTAATAGAGATGATATCGGTTCGTGGTTTTTTTCGGAACAGAATCGATTCAATATCTGTTAGTTAACTCATCTTATTTCATATAAATCTTTAAATATTAAAAGAGGTTATTTTGATTTCGTTTCTTCTTATTTGAAATAATTATTTGAGTATCGATCATAATCACATTTAAATAAACTAACGTTAAAAGTGATTTCGAAAAGCTAGAAATTTTTTTCTGTAAATTATGATTCTTGGACAAATATAAATGAGGATATATTTTCTTTTTTTTTTTTTAGCTAAGTCTCCAATCAAATGTTTTTAATATTCAACCTAGTTCAAGATTAATAAAAAACTTAGTCGAAAATAATAGAGTATGTGATTAATTAGAATGGTTTTATTTTAAATTTTGTATATTCTTTTAGCCATTTCGAAAATGGTTCAACACTGTTCTACGTTCATTGTCTATAAACGATAAAGAATTTCTAAGTAAAAACTTAAGACTTCCTATTTTGATAGATAATTATATTATATATTAGTGATGTCATCAATTAAAAATGATCCACGGAATTATCCACCCGAACCTGGAAGTGGAAGAGAAAATTTATCTGATAATCAAAATTCATCAACAAATAGTATAAAAATCATTTTTTTTGTTTTTTCTAAATATTCTATAGATCTTTTTTCTTCTTAGGTAATGATCCAAATAAACAACAACAAGAACAACCACCATTTCCTCCTCCAATAAATCCTCGAATCGTACTTGCTGTTTTTCTTCTATCTATGATTTTAACATATATAACTTCAAGTCGAGAGAAACAACGCGGAGCTAATGGTCTTACTCAGGGTTACATATCCTGGAATGAATTTGTTCAAGATATGCTATCTAAAGGAGAAGTTAGTCAAATATATTGATGATTAACAAATTAAAAAAAAAAAATTTTAGGTTGAAGAAGTTATTATTCATATTGAAGAGGAAGTTGCTTATATAAAACTACATTCACAACCTGTTATAAAAGGACGAAAAGTAGGATAATAATGATATTTATTTGTTGTTTTAAAATAAAATATTTTATTTTAGCTTTTTGATCGAGATACATTTGTTATGAAAATAAGTAATGTTGATAAATTTGAAGAAAAATTACGAAAAGTTGAATCTGATTTAAATATTGATCCAACACATCGAATATTAGTCAGTTATACACGAAATAGGTTTGAAAAAAGCAATGCATCTTAATTGTAGGCATTCGTTTTTACTGTTAATAAATCATATATGAATAGAAATGAATAAGAAATTTTGACTGAAGTTACTTTCATTTTTGTACAAAAACAAAAAAAATAAAAAGACTAAGTTATATTATTTTATAATAGAAAATAGTGTGTATTAAAAGTGATTTATTTTCGTTGGTTAAATATCTATTAAAAAAAATGCCTACAATTGAAAATTTATCATTAAACTAAATATTTCAACACGTTTGTTTTAATAGTCAATGGCCAGCTGTTATTTTTTTTCTTTCAACTATTTTACTTCTATTTGCTTTTCTAAAATCTCGTGTTAAAATGAATTTTGCTAATCCAATGGATATGATGGTATGTTTATATTTAAGAAATAAAATTTTTTTTTTTATCTAATTATCTTACTCTATAGACGAAAGCAAAATTTACTATGGTTGATCCACATATAAAAGTAAACATACCCAAAATCTCATTTCGTGATGTTGCTGGTATGCGAGAAGCTAAACAAGAAGTTATGGAATTTGTTGAATATATTAAATCACCACAAAAATTTGCTGTATGAAAATGATGTGTTTTTATTCTAGACAACAAAAATGTTTTCTTGAACTTATTTAGGAATTAGGAGCAAAAGTTCCAAAAGGTGCTTTGCTTCTTGGTCCACCAGGTATTGGAAAGACATTATTAGCTAAAGCAGTTGCTGCTGAAGCTGGTGTACCATTTCTTTCAATGGCTGGATCAGAATTTGTTGAGGTTATTGGTGGTCAGTGAAATCAAGAAAACATCCAAATAGAAATTCTTTTTTAATTTGATTCGTTCAGGTCTTGGAGCAGCTCGTGTTCGAGATTTATTTCGAGAAGCACGCAAAAGATCTCCATGTATTATATATATAGATGAAATTGATGCTATTGGTAAAAAAAGACGTGGAGAGTACGAAAAATAAACATTTCTATATAATAAAATATTTTAACTTGGTTTTTTTTGATTATAGAAATAAATCAAGTTTTATGTCTAATAGTGAAGAAGAACATACATTAAATCAATGTAATCTAATCAATTTATTATTTTAATTTAAACCTTGTTTCTGTTTTTCTTTTCTTTTCTTTTTTATTAGTATTAGTTGAAATGGATGGTCTTGAATCGAAATCCAATGTAATTGTGCTTGCATCAACAAATCGACCAGATGTTCTTGATAAAGTCATTTGAAATAGAAATTTTTTTTTTTCTTAAAATTTTATTTTATTTTATTTCTAGGCATTACTTCGACCAGGTCGTTTTGATCGACATATACTTATTGATTATCCAACATTACCTGAACGTATTGAAATCTTAGAAGTTTATTTAAAAAAACTTAAATTAGAAAAAGATATTAAATTTTATTCAACACGTTTAGCACAATTAACACCAGGAATGAGTGGTATGATTTATAATAGAATAAAGCAAAAAGAATAACGATTTAAAAAAAAAATATATATGTATATTTATATAGGTGCTGATTTAGCGAATATATGTAATGAAGCTGCATTACATGCTGCTCGTGAAGGAAAAAAAGTTATTGAACGAAATGATTTTGAAATTGCTGTTGAACGTGTTGTTGCTGGTGCAGCTAAAAAAGCCAATACAATGGCACCAACAGAAAAACATACTGTAGCTTATCATGAAAGTGGTCATGTTCTTACTGGTTGGTTATTAAAAACAACATGTTTACCATTAAAAGTAACTATTGTACCAAGAACTGGACCAGCTCTTGGTTTTGCACAATACATGCCAAAAGATAAAAAATTATTACATGAAGAAGAAGTAAAATAATAATGTATAAAATTTTAAAGATTTCATTTCTTTTTTAATTTTAATTTTAGTTTGATGAAGATCTATGTGTCATGTTAGGTGGTCGAGTTGCAGAACAAATTGTATTTAATACAATATCAACAGGGTTAATATTCTATATGAAATTAAAATTAAAATTAAAATATTACTTTTTTAAAATATTTTTCTAGAGCTCAAGATGACTTAAAACGAGCAACAAAATTAGCTTATACTCAAATAAAACAATATGGTATGAGTAAAACAATTGGATTGATTTCTTTTCCTGTTGATCAACAAAATCCACAGAATGATGATTTTGGTGTTAAGCCATATAGTAAACGATTACAACGTATGATGGATGAGGTAATGATCTGTTAAGAATACATATGTATTACATATATATATATATATATTGATACTTGTTAATAAAGTTGTTAGGACAATCCCTGTGGAATTAATATCAGAAATACGACATGGTTATTGTATTTAATCACCGGAAGATAACATAGTTCTTTAGCATGTATTTACTTAATCCTCAAGAAATGCAATAACAAAGTAGTTCATATAGTATAACAATATGTGATTGATATACGGTATTTAATCATATATAAACAACATTTGTCACGGTCTGTGACACGAATATGGAAGTGTTGCTAAGGCGTTTGTCACGATCTGCGACATTTCTATGTTTGTATCTGTCACAATGTGTATGTGTGATGAAAGAGAGACCTTGTTAAGAACGTCTGTTACGCCATTGATGTGTCGTTGTTAAGATGTCTGTCATGTCTATGCGTAGTAAATTCAAATATTTAACCATATACTTCAATACTACTTTTAGATCATATTTCATATAATTTAATCAAAAAATTTCGATCTGATTTTAACTAATATTATTTGCAATTGTTTTTTTCTAAAGATCAAATTAAAATCGAAGTTTAATTATGTCTTGAGAAGTGTTTTGAAAAAGAATATCTTCAAAGTAAATATTTTGGTTAATGTGACTTATTAAAGAAAAGAGCGTATTTTAATTGATAATATGCTCTTTATTGTACCGATTGACCTTGCCTAGACAAATGAGAATATAGAAGTATGCAGGTATAAATGTCAATGAGTTGAATAAAAAGCAAATATAATTGATAAATTTATTCTCAATTATTTTCATATCCGATGTGTATAAAATTATGTTTTTTCCGTTCAGAGATTCTATACTCAACGACTATCACATTTACTGAACCAGACTTTTTTTTTTCTATGATGAAAAGACTAAGCATTAGTTGATACTTTTATGACATTTATTCTTAGGAAGCACAACAACGTCTTGCTAATGCTTTTAAACGTACTGAAAACTTAATAACTGAACATCGAGCTAAACTCGATATTGTATGTGAATATTATTCATGAAATAATGTTTTATTGATCAAAAACGATTTTTTTTGTAGTTAGCAAAAGAATTATTAAAACATGAAACACTGAATTATGATGATATTGTGAGACTTATTGGTCCTCCACCTCATCCTAATAAACAAAAAATGGATATTATTGACTGGGATGATACAGGTTTGAAATTTAATTAAAATCTTGATTTTGTTTAAAATTCTTTTTCTTATATTTTGATCGATCAGTTTCAACACCAAAACCAACAATTGTTCCACCAACACCTGAATCATTAGGTGGTACAGGCAAAGGTACAGCAGGTGAAGGACCACCTTCCGAACGAGAAAATACTCGTCTTACATCATAAAAAAAAAACAACATTAGCCGTTCTTTTTGTTTATCTTACCTCAACATTTTTTTTGTTGTTTTTATATTCTTGCACATAAATAAAATAATAAAGAAACGCCATTCTGAGTTAGAAAAGAAACAGATAAGAATAAAGAAAAAGCTTTATTAAAGATACGAAATAAAAATCATGCAGTTTTCTGATCCAATTTTAATTATTATTGGTACATTTGTACTTCATCAATCAATATTCTGGATTACTAATGGTATAATATTTCTTTTAACGTATGTCATTTATCCAGATGGTTTAATGAAATATAAAATTCAAAAGGTTGTTTTAATAAATTAATTTTAGTATCATATTGTTCTTATTGTTTTTTTTTCCTATAGAATATACATGTAGATTTAAAAGCAGTTAAAAAATGTGCAAAAACAGTATTGATCAATCAACTATTTATTCTTTTTCCTTCTCTTATATTAATATGTCCATTATTCATGCATTTCAATCTTCGATGGCACATACCATTTCCTCCATGGTATCGTATTCATCGAAAGATATTACTTTTACATTGACATATTATCCTTCTTTTCTATAGGTATCGAATTTTATTCGAGCTACTCTGTTTTATTGGTGTAACTGAAATCTTCTTCTATTACACTCATCTTATGCTTGTAAATATCTTAAAAACATAATTGATAGTTTTAGTATATCTTAATGAGATTTTTTTTTTTCATAGCATATGTCATCTATATACGAATATGTACATAAAAAACATCATCGATTTCGAGCACCGATTGGTATGGCATGTGAATATGCACATCCTATTGAATTCCTTATATCGAACATGGGTCCTGTTATTGCTGGTCCATTAATATTTCAATCACATTTGTTAACCACATGGTTATGGCTTATCTTTGCTCTTTTGGGCACAATAAATCATCATTCTGGATACAAATTCCCAGGAATATTAGGAAGTGGTCTATCTAATCCAACTTTTCACGATTTTCATCATGAACAATTTACAAATAATTTTGGTCTGTTAGGTATACTAGATCGACTTCATGGAACTGATAAAGCATGGCGAGCAAAGAAACACAAAGAACAGCAATTAAAAAATAAGGAATAGAGAAACAAAGGAAGAAGTAACACATAGTGTTACTCTATTGTACATTTGTTTTATTTTTTTTACTTTCTTTTTCTTTTTATACTCTAATCATTGATTATAAATAATAATAATCATTTGTATATGTGTGTAATTATTTTAATAAACTCGAAAAAGAACATGTTCTTGGAAAAATTAACATTGTAATTGGATTAATATCGGTAATCGTGATTATTTTTATGCATTGAAAAAAAAAATAGCACAAACATTTCTTATTTCTTTGTCTGTCATTCTTCTTTTTTGTTAACTACAGAAAGATGAAAATACACGAGCATAGAGGAAAATAAAAATTGCATACCGGTTGTTTATATAGAGTTTGTTCAATCGAAAGAAAAAAAAAAAAAGAAAGGGGAGCGCCGCAAAAAAAAATGAACAATAAAGACAAAGAAATAAAAATACAGAAAATCAACTGCGATAAAAGACAAATTCATTATAATGTAACCAACGATTTTCTTCAGTGTCAGTTTGTTTGCCAATTTCACTAGTTGAACTACTACACCCACTCGCTGCACAACCAACCTAGAGAAAAAATATAAATAATAATATATTATTCTCATCAAGAATTAAAAAGAAAAAAAAGAAATTGTATTAATTATTAACTTACCATTATAAATGACGCTTCACTAAGCATATCAAAAGCTTGTTCAAGGAAGGTATGCTTAAGAAAAAAACGAGATGTATATCGATCCGTTTGACCATGATCAGGATCTCGAGATTCATTTAATGTTTCGCCAAATACTTCACGACAAAGATGTACACGACCACAAACAAGTATACGTGAGATTTTTCGAAATTTCACATCAGCTAAACCATCACGACCAAAGGCTATAGAAACATTTACATAGAAATGAAATAAATTTTTCTAAAAATTCAACTTACCAAAGGTACCTCGATATCCAACAACAATATATCCACTATTAGAACGAGGACCAGCATTTGAACCAATTAATGATGCAACTGGATGCATAGTTGTTGTACCTCCTATTGTTGTATTGTTCATATGTTCATGTATATATTTGACATTTGAACTTGTATTTGGACGACTTTGTGTTAAGGCTCGACTCATACTATCAAGTCGATAGTAATCAGCTTCGATTTGAAGACGATCACGTTCAGCAAAATTTTCTGGCAATGTTAATTTTTTATTCCGTAAATAATCAAGTACATAACGAAAGAGAACACCATCTCGATCAATAAATATACGATTTTTGCTATCACGTCCAAATATTGTCCTAATTTCAGCTATATTTAATGTTGATATAATAGCAAGTGGTGATTCAGGTTCAGCTTGTTGTAATGTACCTAATGTTGTTGCATATGTTACACCACCTACATTTAATTCAATAACATCAAGATGATTTGTTTCTGTACTCATTATACTTAAAAATTCATAACTATTATTATTATTATTATTATTATTATTATTAACTAAAATAAAAATAAAACATGATTATTTACGAGGACTTTTACAATTATAATAAGCTAGTGAAAAGAGAGATTTTCTATTTTTATACATTACTTCAATGGAAATATTATCTTTTCTATTTGATAAAGTAAAAATAACTATTAAATCCTATGCGCACCTAATGGTTTGAAAGGTATCGTATTGTTAAATTTCAAAGTAGATTTAATGAATTTCTTAATCTGATAAAAAAGAAAATACATTTTTTGATATGAGATACAGTCGTAGTAGAATATAAGTATCTTATATATCATTCACGACTTTAATGTTGACTGTGACAAGCTCTCAATTACCTTTCCTTTTCACTATCACTTATTTTTATTACTACATAGAGTCACGCATACTAACTGTCATTTTGAATAACGATAATTGTTTGTTTTGATTTGATGTGTCCTAGAATTCATGCAAAAATATTGTGCATGTTCGATAAGATTAAAAACATGAGAGCCTAGTAGTAACAATTCTTAGTTGTAATCAATTCTTTTTGTTTTCTTTGTTATTTTTACTAAGATAATCGGTTTATAAAAATCAAAAAACCTTTGCACTTGATTTCTTACTTTGATTATAATCTAAAAAAAACTAATTAGCACTTTTTTGTCTATCATACTTCTCAAACGTCTCTTATGTCAGCAAGAAACAATGATGACGCCGATATATATATATATATATAAATCTAAGAAGCTGTCAACGCTGGTGATAATAATATCATGTAGCTCAAGAAAAGAAAAGTAAGAATTCGTAGAAGCACACGGCAGATCTGAAGAATATGAAAAAAAAAAGAAGAAAGTTTCTTCTCGTCTTTCTATGTGTTATTTTTTCTTATGAAAGCAAAAAAATGAGAACTTTTCCCACATATGCATGTGTTTCTGCATCAGCATAGCTAGTATTTCTATGAAAAGAAGTGTGAGTAGTAATAGTAGTAGAGAACAAAGAAAATAAGAAATAGCCATGGCAATGTTGAAAAGAGCGGAAGTGATTTTGAGATAAAGTGAATTCCCACCGTTTGTTTTCGGTGTCATTTCCTACTAGACTTCTCATCGTCACAAGAATGAGTGATTGATCGATCGAGCAAACGAGTTACTGAATGAGTAAGTGACTGAATGACAAAGCAAACGAACGTACAAGCGAACGAAAACAGCTAAGTATTCTCTAGTCTTTCTTATTCTTTTCTTCTACTTCTTGCTCTTATTCTTCTTCCTCTTCTTCTTCTTCTTCTTCTTTATCGATTGGTCGTAAAAGCTAAGATATGCTGTTGTTTAACTCTGTCAAAACCCTCAAGCATTATATAGTGACAAGTTCGTTGCATATGTGAGAATGACAATTCAATAAGATTTTCGTTTAAAAAGGTAGATAAGACAATATAGACTGATGAACATAGTTCGTCATCTTCTCTTGTTTATTTCGTTACATAAATAAGCCAATAATAAAAAGAAAGAATAGAATAGAAATTTTTTTTTTTTGTTATAGTTTGACCTACGGAAGACTATTCAATTATTTACTAGAAAAACAAACGATTAGTAACAAAACATAAAAAACTTGTCAACTTCACTATTCATCAATGGCAAGACATCAAATTCAGTTAATTATTTTATTTGCATGTAATCAAAAGGAGAAAAAAACAACTTTGATCTATAAACAATAACAGCAAATGTCAAGTTTGAGTAAAATAGAGAAAGACCAGCTTACGTAAAGACTTCTTCTCTATATTTAAGTAAGCAGCTTAGAAAAAAACATATATAAAGACAAAATAGATAATATGATGTATTTTACGCATGTAAACAATACTAACAAAACTGATGATAATAGTTTGTGTTTTTCAATTATTTATCTTTCACTCGTACATCCATCTACATGTTTATATGCCGCTTATTTTCTGATATTCTGCCATTGGGACAATTGACACGTGTCGACAATGATCTATATCGTTATATGATAGTAATCATTCGTATGTCGTCTGTTAGATTATCAAGCAAAAATCACTATTAATATATGTATGTGTATTCTGTGAAAACTAAATCAAATACACATAACAACAAAAAAGCATCTAGTGCACTTGTCTTGACATAGCTATCTTAAAGTTTTCTAGTTATGTCTCTATCTTAGTTGTCATTGTCTTTTGCCTTTGATTCCTCATGAGATCTTTCTAACAACGACGACAAGAACCTGTCTCATCTATCATCAAAATAGCATGTCGAGCAGACACATACATACGTTCAAAATTACAACATGAATTAGAAAAAAATTGACTGATTAATTGAGTGACATTTATTTCTCTTTTCTTCTCTCGTTAATTTCGTTTAGATTTCTCTTTTCTAGTCAGAAAAAAAACAGATTCGAATACTTACTTAAAGAAATAGAGAAAGAAAAGAGAACAAATAGATAGAAACTCAAAGAAGA